CATGCAGTATTGCAACAGTTACTAGTCATTAGAATTGATTTTTTTCAAAAGTGCTCTAAAAACAAAAGCAAGCTTGAATGTTCTGTCTTCGAAAAACATTTGTATCAGTAAACGTTTACAAGTATTATCGCGGTCCCAGAAGAATATGACGGTAAATTCTAATAAAGCTTTATTTAGTTTGAAAATTGCAACTTTATTCAGTTAGTCAAAGGCGCTAGTGCTTTACTATTTCCAAAATTAAACTTACTTTTTTAATAAACTCAGAAAAAGATTAGTTTTAGTCGTATCTTTATTTACTGCTAAACAGGTTTGTTACTGAGCGATTTAGTCTATTCTTTTCTAAAATACTGTTAGTATTCATAATGAAGTTGCGGTTTACCTCGAGTCGCTTAGTAAAAAAAGTAACTGTGAGTATGGTACTCCCTATTAGTTACTGTTATGCTGGACTACTTCAACGTTACTTTGCTCATTTAACGGTCGCTTGACAACTATGAGACCTATCTCGTCAATGATATTTTGGACAGCGTCGCGCTTTATCCTGAGCCACTTCGTCAAGAAAGGAAAACTTTTACAGATTACAATTTTTCAAAGGGAAGATAAGAAAAGCATTGAAGAAGTCTATTATTACTTTTAGTGCCACATCGTCGTGAAAACGAAACAGAGCTGTTGTTGTAGCGGAGGGTAGTGATTTTTCAGATACGAAAATTGTGTGCACTCGGACAGGCGCACTTAGAAAATGCACTGTGATATCTTTATATTACAATAAAATTTTGCAAGAACTGCTTTACTATCCTTCTTTACAACATACTTAGCAAGAATTATTAACACTCTAGGGGCGTAAGCGACTACAAATGATATTAAGGATACTGGTACATTCTCCCGCTGGTTACTTCCTTACAAACTCCTACATAGTTTCCATCCTCGTTTCTTTTTCATAAGCCCCTAAAGTTATCATAGGAGAAAGCAGGTCTCTTAACTTCATTATGCCGCTCGCCATTTTTAAAACAAGAAAAATAAGGCAAAACGGACTTAATTTTATTTTCTAGAGTTTCCAAAATTTTAGTTTGTTTGTGTGATTACAGGGAAAAATTATGTATGCACAAATTTGCAGCCGGCAGGTAAGATGTTCTTTAGGTGGCTCTGAAAATAAATTAGTGGACGGGAAGTGAAGCAAGTTATTGTTTTTTGAAGTCGATCATTTTTCGCAAAAAATGTGTTTTCCACAACACTGAGAGAGTACTAATTTCCACTGTGAGGAACTAGTCAAATAATCTGATAGGCTTTATATTTTAGGACAATAATCCTGTTGTTCGAACAAATTCCAAAAAACTTTGAAAGGTTAACTAAAAAAGGTAATCTATTTGGTATGTCTTACACTAAAGCCCATCTCGTGTCGTAGTAACATTTTGATACGATTACGCCTCGTTAGAGGTCGGTTTGGTCACTCAAAGTCATTCAGTGCAAGTCAATTTCTTGCTGACTTAGACAGTTTTTGTGTGCAACATGGGATTCGTTTCAGTACGCTTGAGCGTTAGATGCGCATCGCAAATTAAATTGAGGTTGGTATCTCGCCTCACTTTTCTCAAGCAAAGGTTGTCTCGTCCCCGACTATGATTCATAGTCTTGTAACTATGTATTAGCCTGTAGCTGTACCTTCATTAATGACCAATTGAATCAGTTGATGATTGGTCACATTTTGTCTCAGTATTTATAAAATTTTAAAAAGCAGAGCAATGCTGATGCACTGATTTTTAGAAAATTGAAGGAATAACTGCACACCTTCGCTAGGCTT